GGCTGCCCCAAGGTCAGTCACACTCTCATAGGCCCTGTCTGCATGAGCCAGAATAGTCTGGGAGGAGCCCCAAAGCTGCCTCTTCTTTACCTGCACAAGCCAGAATAATCCAGGAGCAGCACAGGATATTCTGACTCGGGAGCTGCCATGACATCCCACCCACCCCCCATTACCTGGACACTCCCACTGTGATGCCTCTGGAGACAAGGAAAAATTTTGGCCAAAATGCTGATTACAGTGGTTCTTGATTTTAATACGCATAAAGAGAGAGAGAGAGAGAGAAGAGATTTTGAAAAAAAGGAGTTGGGACCCATTTTATCTGGTGTAACAAATGTGAAGCAGCAGCTCATTTACCTTCATTCAGAAGTGAGACCTTCCCCAAGTTAAGAGTGAAACTGCTTTTGCTCCCTTTCTGCACAAGGTTCTTTTATTTGAACGGATGCTGTTAACCACCTGCCACCTGTTCTTTGGACTCCAGCCTCAAAACTGCTCATAAAATATGGAGCTTGCTGTCTCCAGTGGATCAATCATTATGCAAATGCAAGCTTCCCTTTGACAACTGACTGTAATTGAGCGGCTTTGACACTTTTGAGATGGCATGCATTCATACATATTGTAAATGGGGGTGAAGATAGTTTTCTCATTTGATGATCCCATTGACTGGCATGCCAATATTTGCCTTGCTTTTCCTTGTGGACCTTTCTAGGAAGGTTGCTAACCTGAAGTTTATTTATACTAATAGTTAAAGTTGTCATCAGTTGCCCTTCTGGGTGTGTGTGTGTGTGTGTGTATAGTTGTTGTTAGGTAATGAGAGTGTCAACCTGTTAGAGATCAAAAGCAATGTAATGAGAAACAAAGCCCATCTTCCCCACAGGTGTAACATTTTCTAACTGCTTTATAAATTTACTTTCAATGTCTTATTTACACATTTCAGAAGGATTATCCACAAGTTTTATTCCAGTCTCTTACCAGTTTTAAGTTTTGTTTTGTTTAAAGAAACAAACAGTAGGGGGAAAAGCAATGAAGAAAGCTATGAGTTACTGTTAAACCTTGCCATGGGTGATAGCAATGAATTATTATTAAAACACCACAACAAATAATGAGGGGAAATCCTTTTAAGAAATGCTTTTAGCTTCTGTGAATGAAGCCACTGGCTAAAGTCCAAACTTATTTTTAAAAATAATTTGCAAATAAATTAGGTAAAGTAAATAAAGCACAGATGTGACAGTAAAGTGGTAATGCAGAGCTATGCAGAACCCTATTGGGGCCCAGTCCTTATACCCATGAGGTGTGGGTATGCAAGCTCTTCTACTCTTGCCAAGCGATGGTCCAGGAGGAGGAAGTATGTGGAGGAGATCTCATGTACTCCCCCATCTTCTAACAATAGGGGGAGAAGGTAGGAAGGACCAGCCTGGCATAGTGCAGGTGTGCCTCCTGGAAGCACTTAGATGCCCAAGGGAAGCAAGGGCCTTTTGTTGAGTGGCATAGGCTGCCTGCCAAACAGGGCTGGCCACTTCTAATTTCAAAAACTCAAGAGAAGGGTTCAGTCAGGCTGGGGGTTCCAGGGGTGAAGAGCGAAGCCCAATAACTCAAGTTTACAAGTTTTCAAACAGTAATAAACAAGCTGCCAGATACTGTCTGGACTCTGGACCAATAAAGGAATGGCTGGTTGACAGTCCAGAGCCTCTGCATTGGGAACCTGATGGTGCATGTACTTCATACATGAGGAGCCTCCTGCTTCCTCCTTTTTGTTCTTGTTTTCCTTTCTTCCCCAGGCAGTGATAGACTTGAGACTGCCCATCCTTGCACTGCTGTTTTATTTATTTCATCATTTGTTGCCATGTATTCTGCTGGTTTAGCTACACAGAGCCTTCAAGGCAGCTCTCTTGTGCTCCTGTTTCCCTCTTGCTTGACTCACGGTGGCCAGGGTTCCCCCTCCCCTTTCAACTAATGTTGGTATACATTTCTATAAAGATGCATATTTCTCCACCAGTTTTAGAATAAAATCTGCATCTGTTTGGCTCTAGAGGGGGAAAAAAACCAACTTCCCTTTCCCACACGGTCAGTATTTTGTATAATATATGCCTATTGGCTGTGCACCCACCCCAGGTCTAGGAGGCTGCGGTTTTATGGCAGGGACACTGCATTTTCTGAGCATTCAAACCACAGTATTTTGATGCTTGGGGAAAATGTGATACTTCCCCTCCCTCCTTGCCCAGAAACAGCATTCCCATTAGAATGTGGTTGCTCATGCAATTTTTTTCCAGTAACAGAACCACCAATACTATGGGTTTTTAAAAGAAAGAAAGAAAGAAAGAAAGAAAGAAAGAAAGAAAGAAAGAAAGAAAGAAAGAAAGAAGCAGCCCTCACGTTTTAAAATATATATCTACAACATTAGGAAGAGTTCTCCCAAGGACAGGAAAAGCAAAGGCAATTTTACATTACTATGTGTGCAACATTTTGAAAGAAGAGAATTGTGCAACCATGCTTGCACAAATAATTTTGTGTCTACGGGGAGCAACAAAGGTAGAGGGTGGTAGTTAAGATTCCCCAGCAGGTTCCTGCCATCTCTTGTCTGATCTGTTGTTTCTTCACTGATAGACTGATAGTCTCAGACATGACTTCACTTGATCCCACACACCTCCACCTCCCCACTGCTCACTCTAAGGACATTATCCCACAAGCCTTGTTCTCTCCATAATTGCATTAGTAAAAGGAAACAGATACATATTTATTTGGTATGTCCCTTCAATAGTGCGACTGAGGCTGTTTCTGCCATCAATAGTCCCTTGGTTCTCTATCATACTCCTCCTTAACTCCACCTTCCTGCCCTGTCAAGCATGTCTTTTGGGGTTTTATTTTTATTTTTATTTGTAACATAATTTAGCAGTTATGGCAATGTAATTTAGTAAAACAAATATGAAAGAAAATAAAGTGGAGGGGGAAGAAAGACAATCAGGCTGCTTGGGGATAGCGAAGGGGAGTGGGAGAGGAGAGGAGGAGATTGGCATCATGTGACTGCCCAATGTCAGAACTGTCGTGGGAGGAACTTATTGCACTTAAGAACTAATGGCACTGTAGCATGATTGGGAGCTTATAAATGAGGTTTCTCTGTTAACTAAAAGATGCACTCTAACCACATTTCAGAGGCTCAGCAATGAGTCAGAGGTGATGTCATGCAAGAAGTATCACCAAAAGCACTATTTCCCAATTTTAATTGTGATTTAAAAGTTATATGTGATTATCTCCAGTGTTATGTAGTAATGGATAGCAAACCACATTTTACCTCCTTCTCTAAATATAAATCTCTGATAGAAATCTTCCTCTATTGCTGAAGATGGGCTTCTGTAGATTATTCCAAATGCTGACTTCGGGCCTCGGCAGACGGCTTATTAAGCCGTCCTCGAGGCAGGGAAGAGGAGGGGCAGCCGCACGCTCGGCGCCCCTTCCTCCTCCTGAGGTTGCCCTCGGAGCTGCCGGCCCTCTGCACGGCCGGCGCTCTGGGGGCAACCTCCCGCCGCAGCGTCCTGACACGCTGCGGTGGATAAGTCAGTGAAAGTGCGCCGCAAGCTTTTGCGGCGCACTTTCACTGACTTGTGAAAGGAGCGCTATTTTAGCGCTCCTTTCAGGGACGGGGAAGGAGCACCACAGGATCGAGGTGTGGGGATGCCTCGATCCTGCGGCGCACCTTTCCAGGGCGGCCCCGTGCCGCCAGTCTGCTTCCCCCCTTACTTACAACTTAACACACCTGGGACAAGTGGGAAAAACCACACAACACTGCTAAGGTGGAGGAGAGCCAAGTCCTGGAGAGTTTGTTCAACAATGACTCCTACTGAGTTCATTGGGCTCACACTCAAGTAAGTTTGCAAAGGATTGCAGTTGGGAATGTGTGGATTCATCCTGTATCTCTGTTGATGACACTGATATGGTCCAAATCTCCTGTTGCAGCAACAGAAAAAACAATCCAATTTCGCTAGACCCAGAAAATATGTCTATGGGGTTTTCCCCCACAAGCGGAGAGTACCAGGTGCTTAGGCTACATTTCAGAGGAAGGAACTGGCAAAATAACCTGAGAATTCTTTGCCTAAGAAAATACTCTGAAATTGATGGGGTCTCAATAAGTCAAAGGGTGACTTGAAGGCACATACAGACACTCATAGTGAGCCCTTCAATACCTGCCTGTCCTTTAACATGCTTTTGTCTGGGCCACTCCCTTAACTGCTAAGAAGAATTAATGGTATTAACTATTCTGGCTTCTGGCCTGTCATTAACATTATATTGCATAACAAGGGATGAGTTTAATACCCAGAGAGCTGTGGCACACAATATTCATATGTCATGCACCAAAATTAAGTAAATGCAAATCTTCATTACCCATGGAGAGTGTTAAATATTGATATTTCCTTCCTGATAACACAAGTTTGCAACACATGAAACTCAATTATGAGACAACTCAAAAACCCCTTCAATTATACATAAGCACAACACAATGAAGAGAGATAAGCTGAGCTTTGTGAAGCATAAACATCAGGAATAAACTTGGAACAACACAGTGAGACCTGCCAGACAAGACTGTCAGAAGTGCCTTCTTTCTCAAGTGAGTAGTCAATTAGAAATGATGAAGCATAAGGCAACAGTTGGGCTGATTGGAACACTACTGAATTGGAGAACAACCTGACTATGAGCATTATTATTTGCAACCCAGGCCAACATCAGAATACAGCCTGGTTACAATTGTGGGTAGTTGCTGGTCTTATACCAGCATGAGATAATGGCACATTTGTTCAGATGTTCCTTGGCCATAAAATTAAGCTTTAAATCATGTCATTTATTTATTTGTACTAGTTTTTTTTATAAAAAATGATTGGTGTTATGTTGTGCCTTCAAGTCATTTCTGACTTACGGGTTTTCCTGGCAAGATTTGTCCAGAGGAGGTTTGCCATTCCCTTCCCCTGAGGCTGAGAGCAGATGACTTGCCCAAGGTCTCCCAGTAGGTTTCATGGCTGAGCAGGGAATTGAACTCTGGTATCCAGAGTTGTAATCCAACACCCAAACCACTACACCACACTGGCTCTGATGACTGATCATTTAAAGCAGAGGTGGGAAATATGTAGTTCCTCCCCTTCATGTTGGACTAAAAGCTCACCACTGGGTAAGCTGGCTGTGGCTTGTGGAAGCTGGACTTCAACATATGATGGGCCACAAGTTCCTGTTTAGAACCTGATGATGATAGTCTTTGCTTCCCTTGGCCCAGGGCAGCCACAACTTCTTTTGGTGAGCTTTTGCCGCCTCAGGGGTGGATAATCTGTACGTTTTACCTTTTTAAACATTTACCTCTTTTTCAGTCACAACTTTGTTCTGTCCCATACAGACTGGGTTTTTTCAAATGCTATATGAACATTTGTATCCATGTTTGTACATATGAAAATTTTCTAGCATTTCTATAAGCACTTTCTCCTAATTTATCCATGCAAGCATGTTTCCCTAATATATGCCTTTTAAAAAAATACACACCTTTCCAAAATGTGTGCTTTTTTTTTTTGCATGCAATTTTTCCTAACATTCTGGTACTTACGTTTTAATCAGAGAGCTGCATCTCAACATTTGAAGAGATGGGAATACTGAAGGAAAATTGGGTTCCTATTTATGCATTCCTCCTGTGGCTTTAGCAGCAGCAACAACAGCACATTTGGAAATAGAGCATTTGAACCTTTTGCTATAACAGAGGTAAGACAGTGGCAAAAGTTTCTCCATATAGAGCTCCTATGAAAGATTTAAAAGTGCAGTTGACATCATTGTGTTTTTTTAAACAAATGGCAATCCTAGCAATCATAAGAACCAGTACTAGCTTAATGATGATTCTGAATTAATGATTTTGCAGCCATGACTAAAGATGGGTTATCAGATAAGGAGAGAGGAACTAGAGATGTTGTCTCTTGTGCATCATAACAAATGGACTTCCTTTTCATATTCCCTTTCATTGTGACACCACAATGGGAGCAAACCAAGATATGAGGATAATAATTGTTTCTATAAATAAGAAAGTATGAAAGCATATCCTGGACAATTTAGGCCCATAAGCATCTCAGAAATCCCATTCTAGGCCTGGTGAAACATTTTCCACATTTAGGTAATCATGCTGCAACTTATTAGCCTTTAGAAATAAAACCTTCATGAAAATCCCTTGGGCCAGCTAAGGATCTATGTTTCCTGCAAGGCAGATGATGATACAGCCCAGAGCTAGAAAGAGGGTGTATTGCTGCAGATTATTAAAACAATATTCTACCATAGGGATTTTCGAGAGACTATGCAATGATCAGGAAAATCAGGTACAGATGACAGCTGAAAGAGGTTTGTATCAAAACATGAATAAATAAGAAAAAGTAATACATATAGGGATAAATGTGCACACATGTTTCCGTTGCTTAGTAGCTACAGTTCCTCTGCAAGGAAATGGGAACTGTAGTTCTGTGAGATACAGATCTAACAGTATTTTCAGTAATTCTGCCAAACTATTATTTTCAGGCTTCTTGAAAAAATGTGTGTGTGGACAATTGCTGAAAACTGTGCTAAATTTTAGTATAGTAGTTGTGGCCTCAGTTCAGCTGAATTTAGGAAAGACCTTGGTTGAAGTAAATGGATCCCACCAAAAAACCTAAGGCAGGTGCAAAATGCCATTTCAAAGATGTTTAGAGCCTACCCCCCCCCCCAATTATTTAACTAGGTAAGGCTTTCTTGCAAGCCCCATTAGAGTCAACCTGGCAGGCTCAAGATCTTTTGGACTATCCTCATCATCTCCATGCCACCATGACCAAATTCCATCCTGTCTGGGGTGATGGGAGTTCATAATCCACATTTTGAAAATGCCAGAAAGAGGAAGACTTGACAGGTTTTAGGTGCACTGTGATTTAAATAAAGATAATCCTGCTCTACATTCAGGAAATATATTACAAATTTAAAAAGCCAAAAGGATGTTTTCTTGATTATTCTTTCTAGTTAAGGAAACGTAAGTCACCAGTTAAGGTTCTCTTGTGATGGGCCAGTCCCCACAAAGGGAGGGAATCAGAAGCTAAGGACCATTCTGTGAGTAGTTTGACAGTTTTGTCATTTATCCAGAGAGCTACCCAAGCCATCTCTGTGCACATGGAAGCAAGTCAACAGCAGCAATGATGAATGGTGCCCCCAACCATTGGCTACATTCACACAACTGCCAGAGGAGGAAGTGGCAGCCACCCAGTATATGCCTCCACTCTTTCTAAAGTAGCCCATTTCTCCAATGCCTGGTTCTCAGATATTCTTGGAGCAAAGACACTATGGGAGGATGGCTTAGAAAATCACCTTTTGAAGAGGTGCAGGTGGGTCCCCAAGAACCTCCCCCCCCCCCCTTTAGAGCTGTGGCTTTGAGAGCTTGTCATTGGGTAAGAAAATGGGCTGCTCTACATGAACTAGCTTCTGGCTGGAGGTGCTGACTGGGCAATCCAATGAAGAATATCAGCAGGGCATTCCACTGTGCCAGAACTGAATTAAGAACCTTGTTAATGATCAGTAATGATGTTCTCCAGGTTCACAAGTTGTACTTGCTTATAACTTACCATCCAGGCATCCATCATTTCTCCTTGATCTTTCATGCCTAAATCTAAATATGAGGTGGGTGGGTGAAGAAGTGCAAATCATCCTGGTCCTGTATTACTTTACAAAGTTTCTGAGCTTGGCACTTTTATGAAGGTCGTGCTATAAATAGAACTAAATAAATAAATGAGCCAAGACAGCCATGGCTGCTCCTGCTACCACCCTCTGTTTCCACCTGCTGCAATAAGCAGGATTTCAGGTATTCCACGCAGCAGGTAAGGGAGTAGGCGGAGGACAGAACCAGGGAAGAAACAGGTGGAAAGAACGTGCCACATGCTTCAGGGCTAGAAAGTGGCAACCCCAGTCCAGTAAAAGAGCTAATGAGTACAGCAATATGATGGCTGGGGAAGTTGGTTTTAATGCGAGAGAATATCTGTAGAGAAGTAACAGAAATTAATACACTGTGGCTTTCTCAGCGAAACAGAACTTATGGAGCTGGGTATGTTTAGCCTGGAGAAGAGAAGGCTAAGAGGCAATATGATAGCCCTGTTTTAATATTTGAAGGGATGTCATATTGAGGATGAACCAAGCGTGTTTTCTGCAACTCCAGAGAGGAGGACCCAGAGCAATGGATTTAAACTGCTGGAAAAGAGATTCCATCTCAACATTAGGAAGAACTTCCTGACAGTAAGAGCTGTTCAACAGTGGAGTACACTCCCTCAGAGACTGGTGGAGCCTCCTTTACTGATGGCTTTTATACAGAGGCTGGATGGTCATCTGTCGGGTGTGCTTTGATTGAGAGTTCCTGCATGGCAGGGGTTGGACTGGATGGCCCTTGGGGGTCTCTTCCAACTCTATAATTCTATTATTCTATGGTCCAAAATATACTGCAGAAATAATCCAGTTTGACACCACTTTAACTGCCTTGGCTCAATGCTAGGGAATTCTGGGAGCTGTAATTTTGTGAGACATTTAGCCTTCTTGGTCAGAGAGCTCAGATGTCACAATAAACTACAATTCCCAGGATTCCCTAGCACTGAGCCAGGGCAATTAAAGCAGTCTCAAACTGGATTATTTCTGCAGTCTGTTTTGAACCTATGATTCTAATACTGAATACAGTAGACCCATTTAAACAATGAGGTTTAGATAAGTGCCAGCTCATAATTTAATGATTCATTGCAGGGGTAGGCAACCTTTCCCCTTTGAGGGCCAAGGGACTTCAGCTCCCAGAATCCTAGAAGCTATTGGCCAACATGGGACTATTGGCCAACATGGCTGAGACTTCTGGGAGCTGAAGTCCCTCGGCCCTTAAAGGGGAAAGGTTGCCTACCCCTGATTCATTGTGTCTACTTTAGAGCCATTTCAAACATCACAATTATAGGGCAATGATCCTACTGTAACTGCCATAGTGGCATCCTATGAGATCCTGGGGTTTGCACCTGAGGAGCCTAAAGACCGCTCCCAAAACTGCCAACCCCAAGAGTTTGTCAGCCATTGCTATGGAAAAGAAAATGGAATCATAGCACAATAATTATGTAGTGCGAAAGGACCCCTAGTTGGGACTAGCAACTGCAACAAGGCCAATATAGGGACACTGTCCCCACTGGTTATTGTCCTGCTCAAGACTTAGAAAAGTGACTACCATGTAAGCTGCAACTCCTAGAATTCCCCAGCCAACTTACCTACTGGGACACTCATCCTGTCTGAGGGATTCTGGGAGTTGTAGTCCAAAAAAGGGTTACTTTTCCTATTTCTGCACGTATTATACAAAAAGCAGCCTTCTTGCAGAACTGCCATCCCTTAAAAGGAAACAACCTGAAGGCAGGAGTGTTACCGAAAGAGGATTCTCTTTGCTTATTGTGGTTCACTTGAGAGTCATGCCATTCATCTGTATGCGTTTGGCTCCCCCCTCTTTTGTCTATAGAAACATTCTTTTTATAGAAGGAGGCCTTCTTCTTCTTCTTCTTTTTAATCCCATGAGGTGTCCTTGAAAAGGCTTTCAGCAGCAGTGAAGTCTGCTGGGACATAAAAGCCTTCACA